ACGGTTTCATCCATACAAAATTAAATTGGTACAACAGCTAACAATCTATTTAACAAGTTTAGTTCTGTAGTTTTCTGTCTGTTTTTTTTATCTCGTTTTTGAATAGTAGAATTAGTTCGCTCGGTTTCACTCTTTCGGCATTTTATTGTGTTTTATAATTTGATTAATAGTATATTACATAACGAGAGTTGTAAGAAGCTTATTACATGCGATTAAAAAAGTTGCGCGCGAGCCGCGTAGCGGCGAGCGCAGTAATTTTACAAGCATGTAATAAACTTACAACTCAAGTTGTGTACTATACTTTTTCTACGATTATTTTCGTTTATAAAAATAAAAATTAAATTACCATTATATTTACACTGGCAGATTAATAATTTTTAATCTATCAAAATAACATTGTTCTGAAGCTAAAGTTGATTATTATGATATTCTCAAGTTAAAGTTAATTTCATGTAATCGAATGAACTTATCGAATGATCTTATAAGTAAAGTCGTCCCAGGAGCGCAACTCAACAATATTGGCAATATCATTTTAAAGTCGTCTACTTTAAAATGCATAATGTATGTCTGAATTGTCAATATAAATGAGTCAGATAAAATTAAATTATTAGAAGAATTTTTCACTATGTAACAAAAAACAAAATTTGTTTAATTTACTGTTTGTATTTTGAGAACGATTTCCGAAGTGGAAATTGAAACGTCAATAAACGTATTTTTATCTTTAATTGTGGCTTATTCCCAGTTAAATCGTAATTAATGTCAAAATAACGTCTGTTAATTCGTTTCCATGGTAACTCGACCAACTGTTTTACGAGGCTTATGTGATATTACACATTTTTATAAAACTGAAGCGTAATTTTTTTTATTACGTGCTAGTCATTACGTGTCAGTATCTGTTACGATGCATTTACTTAGCATCCAAATAGTATTTAATATACAATTTAGTAGTAAGAGAGTAGAAAATAAGCATGAAATAAGCTTACAACTCAAGTTGTGTACTATACTTTTTCTACTATTATTTTCGTTTATAAAAATAAAAATTAAATTACCACTATATTTACACTGACAGATTAATAAATTTTAATCTGTCAAAATAACGTCTGTTAATTCGTTTCCATGGTAACTCGACCAACTGACTTACGAGGCTTATGTGATATTACACATTTTAATAAAACTGAAGCGTAATTTTTTTTCTTACGTGCTAGTCATTACGTGTCAGTATCTGTTATGATGCATTTACTTAGCATCCAAATAGTAGGTAATATACAATTTACTAGTAAGAGAGCAGAAAAAAATATAAACTGTTCTGTGATTGCTGCCTCTTAATATTTTAGCAATTCATTTGGTATCCCGTCCTTCCCTGCTTATTTTCTGTTCTTCAGTTTTCAAGTAGTTTCTGAAGGTCCTGTATATTTATATAAAGTTCTTCATTTGTGTTAATTTCTGGTGTTGGCGGTTCTAGCGTCGTTTGTTTTTTCTCTACATGGAGCTTTTTTAGATAGCCAATCCACTTATTCTTTTCTATGTGTTTTAGTTCCTTTACCTCTGTTCTTTGACTTCTTATAAAGCGCATAGCCAGGGTCACAATAGAATAATCGTTTACCGATATTGGTATTTAGATACTAGCCTGGCCTCCTAGAAGCCCCGACCTTAACTTAACAGATATATCTATGAAAGAGTACTTAGATAAAATTATAGCTAGTTTGAAACTGTGATAGCGTTGGAACTGGCTCTGGTAAACGAGTGAGAATAAATACCGCTAAAATAAATTGTTGCTTTGATCTAGTCTATGTCAAAAATGATGAGAGCTGTTATTCGCACTCAGAGGAAATACTCAATATTTTAGTGTACATATCTTATGATTTCTATTTTTTTTTGTTTGGCTTGGACAATTGTCATTTAGCCAGTCTCAATCAACATAAGTTTATTTAAAGAATTAAAATATGTCAATTAGTGAAATATGATTAATATAATAATATTATAATAATAATAATATAATTATTCCTTACTAAGCTAATGTACATACTATGTTAATAAATACTATATTACACCTTTGTTATAATTTAGTTATTGAAAGACGTCATGTGAAATACATAGTGTATACATCTTACAAATAAAAATATCTACCTACTATGTTAATAAATATAACTATGGTAATATATTTTTTTTCACTACGTTAGGACCTAAACCCGATTCAACACCTCGGAGGTTTAGATCCTCTTAGTGATTATTTTAATATATTTTTATTATTTTTTTTTTGTTCTTTTTTAGTTATTTTTTAGTTTTCTTTTAATATATTTTTTATAATCCCCTTTTTCTTTTTTTTTAATTATTTTTTTCTTTTTAAATCTATTTTTTAAGTATTTTTTATATTCCTTTTTTTAATCTTTTTTTTTAATTATTTTTTTTTATTATTTTTTTCATGAATTTTTTCTAAACATAGGTTACAAATCTAACTAATTACATGCATACTTTACTATCAGACAAAAAGGTTATCAAGTTATCAAGTAGTCAAACATTTTCTTTTCATTGAGTGATAGTAGAAAGAGAATATTAACAGGAACTGGGATGTTCTTGTCTATCAGTCTTTTAATTAGATTATTGGTGGGTTGTTTATACTTTTGACATTCAAAAAATATGTGGTTTAAGTCACTTTTAATCTGACATTCTTGACAAATATCCGAATCTAATATATGTATTTTAAATAAATGTGTAGGATAACATGCATGGCCAAATCTAAGTCTACTGATGGTAGTTATGTATTTGCGAGAAAGAACGAAATTCTTATACCAAGGTTTTTTTGGAATAATTGGTTGTATAAAACTGTATTGTGTTGTTGAAATACTACAGTACTTTTCCCAGTGTTCTCCAGTTGTTCATTTGTTTAGTTCTTGAACAAGCAAAAGCATCTATAATGCAAGATTGATAGTTGGTTAGTGTTTCATAAATTATGGAATTTTTAGCTAACTGGTCTACGTGTTCATTATATCGCGCCCTCAGTGCAAGACTGCAGTAAGTCAGAATAAATAAGTTTCGAGATAAAGACGATTTTGTTTATTTTCTATTAGTAGCTGTCCTCTTAGATTAAAGAAACTGGTTTCTTTAATCTAAGGTTGTCCTCTTCTCGTATATCATCTTGGGCCAAAATATTTTATATTTTGCCAAAAATATAAATTTTATTTAAATCCAAAACAAAACAGGACTATAATAAAAATATGCAAATCAGCCTACCTTGAGTACAGTGATTAACAAAAGGATTAAAATTCACTACCTTAGTAAAAGATGGAAATTACGGGGGGGGAAATATGATAAGACAATCGCCCCGGAAGGTTACACGAAGATTTAATACAATTTGTGATTTAGTTTCTATAGAACAAGTTTTCTGAGAATAGATATTTGTAACCTGTCAGTATTGTGAATACCCAAGTTTTAAGATAACTGTTTTTCCTTTCATAAGAAAAAATACTTTTTGGCTGTAAATAATTAGTCTTAATTTATGTGTTTTTAATCCAATCTAATAAATAAATGGTCAAACGACATCGCACACATTTTATGGAAAATATAATGTCACACAAAGGACATAAAACTTACATGAATAGATTAGTCTCGTAAATCTTTGTTTATTGTCTCGGCCGTTAATTGATTACGTAGACATGCTGTATATTAAAATGAAACACCACAGATATAGATTTTAAAATATCAGCTAACTTACTTTTTACGTGCCTTTCATTGCGTGTTATCAAAATCATTTCAATGTTCCGTGCAAAACTGTTGTAACTCTGTTTCTTTAGAATTACAACAGTTTTGCACGGAACGTGTTAATATTGGAAGTTAATAATGGAAGTTATAATATTTAGCTGGTTAAGCATTTGAAAGTTACCAAAGTTTTACATGGTATAGATATACATGTTTACAATCGAATTCCATGATTACTTCATTTTCATTAAATTTAAAGTTACTGCAGTCTTGCACTGAGGGTGCGAATGTAAGTCCTGAATGTGCTTTGATCCACATCAATTGTATTTTTTGGGTGTATTTATTAATTTCAAATAAGCATTTTCTAATTAAAAAAATGTATGGATTAGAAGTATTACAGGGTAGTTGCGGTTTTTGAATAGCTGTAAGTACAGATAATGAATCAGATAAAATTACTGCTGAACTATATGATGCCCACTTAAAATAATTTAAAGCCTTATATATGGCCGCAGCCTCGGCACTAAAAATAGAGAAATTTGTGGGCAGCTTAAACATTTTTTGTATAAATTTATCTGGAATATAAAAGGCACAACCAGTACTCTGTGAAATTTTAAATGCGTCTGTATAAATACAAACAGATTTTGGCCAATTTGTCCGATAGTTGTTTAACACAATACGACTTATTAAATGGTTCTCGTGATAAATAGGCTGTAGTATATATACTTGATCCAGTAACTCAAAGAAATCTTTAAAATGTACCACTTTGTTATGATTTCTATTTGAAAAATATCTCACTCCGGAATAAAACAAATTTTAAATTTTTATTTGTTGTTTAATTCGTTATAATTTTGGAACTTGTATTTTTTATGGTTTTTTATTGAATATACAATAAAAAAATATTGGAATTTAAGTTTTTCTATAAAATAAAATAGTTTTTATTAATTTTTTTAAAATAAACTAACTGGTAGGTTGATGTTGCGTATGTATTTAATAAAGACACATATTATGAGACTATAACCGATATGAATAGAGCTGAAAAATTTATCTAATAAAAAGAATTACTACATTATATTCTGATAATTTGCTGTAACGTAAAACCATACAAAAATGATGTCAAAGATAATAGTTTCTTGAAACAGTTCTTACATTTAATTGTAGTATTTATTTCCCGCGTGAAATATATAATTACCAAAGCACGCTTTACATAATAACAAAGACCATTAAGAATAGTTGTTAATATTCATTCCGTGTATTATTGCTTATGTCAGATATAAATCAAATGGTTTTTTTTATTAGTAATCTAATGAATGTCTCTTAAATAACATAGATTTTTGTTAGAAATGAGATTTTTACCAAGAATGAAGATACATTGATTTATCAAACACTCCTCGTAAAAATGTTATATTCAGTACAAATAGGATGTATGAGCAGATTTACGACTAGTTTGTAAGAGAAGTCGCTCGAGAAAATATCTGCCAATATGAATAAAAGAAATTGTACTATTATTTTAACTTTGTTTTTGTGTACATTTTTGGGTAATACATGTAAGTAATTTCTACGTTATTAGTATTTTAAATTTATTGAAAAATTATTTCTTCTATTTACCTTTTTAGTATAGTTTTAGGTTAACTTTTTTGTATTCTATTTTGGACTTGAATGTGCTTTTTTATTCACTTAGCATTGGTTTCTGTAGTATTATTGATTTTATTATACGACTGTATATGGCATAGACCTGAGAAATTAGCAATTAAAAAGTCTTTTTTGTGACACTCTTTAATGGAGGTATCTAACAACTACTTTTGATAAATTTGGTGATAACAGTATGTAATAAACAAAATATGCAAAAGACTAAACGTCATTCTTTACTTATATACAATATATAAACAACGTAAAATCGCTATTTGTTTTAATACTAAAGGTGAAGACCGGCAAATTATATAGAAACGTGACACAATTTTACTGAAAAGGCATAGAAAATACTTTAAAATAAGAGTTTGTAAAGTTAGTTTTATTAATTTGTTGCTTAATTATTGCAAAAATAATTTCAAAAGTCGCTTTTTTTAATTCTTAATAGCTTTTTTAAATATCATAAAAAATTTTCAATAATTTTGCGTGATAATAGGGACAATATCACATAGATTCAGTTTTAAAAATTTCAACATGTTTCACTTACAAGTTTATCCCAGAAAGCTTTAATCTACAACGTTAGTATGCTTAAACTATCGGGTTTATATAAATTCTTTAATTATTAAATAATTTATGTTAAATATTGTAAAATAGTACTGTGATTTTATATACTATATAACAAGCGAGTCTTCTACAGCTGGCGCCGCTTCTCGCATCCTAATTTCCAGCGTTTTCTGTCGAAGCAATCTTCAGTTGTTAGATCTCTGGCGGTCATTGCATCGTCGACATCGTCTCTCCAGGATCGTCTTGGTCTACCTCGTTTTCTTCTAGTTGGCGGAGTCCATTCTTCTATTTTTTTTGGCCATCTATTTTCCGGCATTCTCTGAAGGTGTCCATACCAGTTAAGTCTTTTGGCTTCGATTGTGTCTATTATGTCAAGATCGATTTCCATTTCTCTCCGAATATCTTCGTTTCTCACCCTATCTAGTCTAGTGAGCTGGCAACATCGTCTCCAGTAGTTCATTTCCATGGCCTTAATTTTTGATTTGTTTCTTTGGTTTATTTCCCAGAGTTCGGCGCCATACAGTCCAATACTTTCTATTATTGTTTTATAAATTCTTCTTTTATTTTCTTTTGTTATTTTTTTATTCCATAATAGTCCATGTAGCTGTCTGGTGGCTGATCTTGCTTGGCCAATCCTGGAATGTATTTCTTCGCTGGTTCCTGCTTTTGATGTTATTTGGACTCCCAAGTACTTAAAATTGTCTGTTGGTTTTATAGTTCCCATTTCTATTTGTAGGCTCTCTGGTTGTTCTCTTACAACTAAGTACTCAGTTTTTTGTATATTAATTGTGAGGCCCCATTTGGTGTACTCATCTTCCAGTTTTCTAAGCATGTAGCTTATATCACTCTCGTCTTCAGCTAGAATGGCTTGGTCATCAGCGAAATGTATCGTGTACAATCTATCATCTCCGATTGGGATGCCCATATTGCAGCACTTTCTTCTCCACAGTGAGAGTGCCTCACTTAGATATATTTTGAAGAGTGTAGGTGCTATGCAGCAGCCTTGGTTTAGGCCCTTACTAATAGGAATTTCTCTAGTTAATCTATTTCCAGTTTTAATGTTTGCCGTCATATTTTTGTAGAGCTGTTGTACTGCTTGTATATTTTTTTGCTTATTCCTTGTTTTTCCATTGCTACCCAAAGCATTGAAAGTGGTACACTATCGTATGCCTTTGTCAGATCTATAAAGACTATTACTGTGATTTTAAAATATAAATATAAATAATTAAATATAAATATTTAAAATAACTCGACCCGCCAACATATAGGAAGTTATTTTTTTTTATTCAAGATGTCGGCATTTATATACGAATTTTAAAATAAAAGTCAGTGTCCTACGATCCTTAGAACCTGCGTAGTTTTTTTTGTTTCTCGATTTTGCTATTTCAAAAACTGAATTGACAAATTCAAAATAAAGGTCGCGGTATCTCTGGTTCTAATAAACGAAAATTGATGTTTTCTTTTTAAATTGAGATACCTCGTTGCATAGATTTAAAAAATTCAATTAGTTAATTTATAAATTGTTTATTTAACTAAGTAATTTGTTAAAACAATTTAAAATAAATATTTATTTTGCAGAATTTTACGTTTCTTTTATTATTAGTAGTAGAAAAGGTTATAAAAAGGCAGGTTACCTAAATATTTATGTTTATAGTCATAAAAAATATAATTTCAAAGTAACTTTTTTAAATGCATTACAAATATGTTAAACAAATTAATTGTTATATACTTTGTATGCGTGGTTGATGCGTTATTAAAATAAATAAATAAATAAAATTATAAAAAAAATATTAAAATTAAGTACTTAAATTGTTATGTGTTAATTATATAAGCAGATTAACTCTCTAATTTTTATTTATAATTATACAAAATTTATAACAATTAATTTCTGTAAAATATATTCGTAATGTTTTTAAGAAAAAGTAATTGTAAAAATATTAAGCACAGTTCAAGAAAAATTAACTTGGTTTAACAGGAAAAACTTTCAAAAAATATTTTGTATTTTGCCGATAAGAAACTAAGTTTTTAAAAAAGTGTTAAATAAATTAACGTGGCGCGATTTTTGCCAATTTTTACGATTCTCATGAGATCAATAAAATTGATCACTTTTATTGATTAGTTGTAGTAAAATTTCCATTTTTAGTGAGCAACCTTAAAAGCCTATGATATAAAATTTAAATTTTGAGTTTTGGTAACAAATATGAAGCATTTGAAATATGAATAGAAAACGCAAAATTTAATGTTTTCCATTATAAACGATCATACGTCACGGAAAATGTATTTAAGAAGGGTGTAGTTGAAAAAAAAAGTTTTAAATGTTTTAGATCGTTTGTTGTGGGAAAGTTTATATTCAGCGTTTTTAAGCATATTTCAAATCCCTCACATTTGTTGCCAAAACTCAAAGCTAAAATTTCATGCTATATGGTAACTGGCCGTTGATTTTTTATTTAGAGTAGCAGTCATCAACGCTATATGTATATATAGTGCTTTTTAGAAAAAACTATCCACCTTAAATAACTTTTGAACTTCTAATTTTTAGAAAAAGTGCAAATCACGTCAATTAATACACTACTCATAAATTCCTAAAATTAACATATAAAACTATTTTTAAAATAATTGCCTGTACTATACTCTATATGCTATATTTATTGCCAATATTTTTTGCATGTGGTTTTTTTCTTCCCATTCTTATCGGCCCTTACCTCGTACAAAGAGAGAAATGTTGTTCCAAATATGAATATATCATTCGTGTAAAAGTGCTTGTATTGGCTTTACCAGTTGTCAATAAGTCAAGGAATCTATTTATCACAAAAACATTATGCCGCAAAGACGTTTAGAACTAGTGCAGCTCGAGCAATTAGTTCGTTGGATCCAACAAGGCATAACTCAACAAGAGATTGCTATGAGGCTAAATGTGTCGCAAAGTGTGATAAGTCGTGCATGGAATCGGTATGTAGCAACTGGATCTGCAACATACAGGCATGGAGGAGGAAGAGAACGATCTACAACTCGTCGGCAAGACCGTTTTGTAGTTCTGACGGCAAGAAGAAACCCAACATTCACGGCTTCCAGAATTAACAGTATCTTCAGGCATGCTACTGGACGAGCGATTTCCAGTCAAACTGTCAGAAGACGGTTACATGCATCCAATTTAAGGGCTAGACGGCGCGCTACCCATCCGCGACTCACTAGGGAGCAGCGTGCATGCAGATATCGCTGGGCGATGGAACACTATCAGTGGAATTTCGAAAATTGGAAGAATTTTCTCTTTACTGACGAGTCCAGATTTCGTTTGTATACGAATGATGGCCGAATATTGATGTGGAGGGAAAGAGAACAGCGTTACAATGAAAATTTGAGAGTCCTAACCACTCTTTTTGGAGGTGAATCCGTTTGCGTGTGGGAAGACATATGTTTTGACGGTCGCACGGATTTAGTCGTCTTAATTAATGAGACAATGACTGCTACAAGATATCGAGACAGAGTCATAGTACCAATAGTTGTTCCATTTTTTGGTGCAATAGGCGAACAATTTGTTCTGATTGATGATAATGCTCTCCCTCACCGTGCGAGAATTGTCAACGTGTGTATAGAAGCTCATAACATTACATAAATGAAGTGGCTACCATGTTCACCTGATATGAATTCCATTGAGCATGTTTGGGCCGAAATGTCTAGGCAACAAAAACAGGCTCCTTCAACCGCCCCAAACCTTAGATCAGTTGGCCAATACATTACGCGCGATTTGGGAACGTATACCGCAGCAGTTCATCAATAATTTAATAAGAGGTCTTCCAAATAGAGTTAGAGCACTAAGGCGACACAGAGGTGGACCCACACACTATTAATTTTTCTTTTTGAGATATTAGAAATTGAGCAGGAATAGAAATTTTATTTTGTTAATTTTACATTTTTTGTTTATTTTCTATTTTTTTTTCTTAAAGAATCTTTCTTTCGGTTTATCTGTATAAAAATATGAAGTAAAAATTAATCTTTATTTATACCATTCCATTTTTCTATTTAACCTTATAAACAAAAAATAAAATACACATTTTCATAATATCCACTTCAATTGTTGAGAAGTGTATTTGAAAGGGGAGACATTATGTCATATTTAAGGTTGCTGGAAAAAGCGACCCCCGCCCCCCGTTTCATCCCTATATTATTTTTTTTACTTCCCCTTTTTTATTTTATATTTGGATTCTCCTTTTTGAACTGATTTCAAAAATGTATAATACATTCGGGTTGAAGTGATTAGTTTATGAGATAGACAATTTTTCTTGCAACAAGATAGTATCTTTCCTGCCTTAATTGAATGTAACAAAATAGATTGTAGCATAATTTAAAATTTTTAAATATTTAACCGTACTATTTCTACTCCTTAGAACCTGAATAGTTTTTTATTTCTCGATTTTGCTATTTCAAAAACTGAATTGACAAATTCAAAATAAACGTCGCTGTATCTCTGGTTCTAATAAACGAAAATTGATGTTTTCTTTTTAAATTAGATACCTCGTTGCATAGATTTAAAAAATTCAATAATTGATAAATTTATAAATTGTTTATTTAACGAAGTAATTTGTTAAAACAATTTAAAATAAATATTTATTTTGCATAATTTTACTTTTCTTTTATTATTAGTAGTAGAAAAGGTTATAAAAAGGCAGGTTACCTAAATATTTATGTTTATAGTTATAAAAAATATAATTTCAAAGTAACTTTTTTAAATGCATTACAAATATGTTAAACAAATTAATTGTTATATACTTTGTATGCGTGGCTGATGCGTTATTAAAATAAATAAATAAATAAAATTAAAAAAAAGTATTAAAATTAAGTACTTAAATTGTTATGTGTTAATTATATAAACAGATTAACTCTCTAATTTTATTATAATTATAAATTTATAACATTAATTTCTGTAAAATATATTCGTAATGTTTTTAAGAAAAAGTAATTGTAAAAATATTAAGCACAGTTCAAGAAAAATTAACTTGGTTTAACAGGAAAAATTTTTAAAAAACGTTTTAACGTGAAAAATCAAGAAACAAATGCATTTTCGTGGAAAAATCATAAAACTATTTTTACAGTACTTAGAAAATCTTTATTTTTATTATTTATAAAAGTCTTTAGCACCACTAATGGAGCTATGGTAAAAATAAAGTTGGTCAGTATTTTTTTCACCAAAAAAATCGTTAAAATCTTCCCTAATTACCGCACTAATTAAAATATTTGTAACCCCTTTACAATTTACTTAATTAATGCACTTACAATACGATCTAGAAGTTTAATGGTTTTAAATGCTTAGTTTTGAAAAAAGAAATTGTTTGAATAGGAGATTTTTTTTTCCATAAAAAATTCTTTGGGGTTTAATTCTATAAAGGACGTCGCTCTTTTATATGTACAAAAATTGGAAAGCTTTTGTATAATTTAGTTTTTGTTCAAGATTTTTAAGAGATTTAATTAAAAAAATTATTTCAATGAAATATTTTCACTGTTGGATTGTTGAACTATTTTACACTATTGTATAACTATAATATAAAGGTTTTCTAGACGACTGATACAGGTTCTGACTGCAATATAAGTGTTTGTTTTTACCCTTTTTTGTATTTATTGCTATTTTACATTAAGCGTAATAAATGTAATTATTTTTACCCAGTTGCATCTTACAGAAAATTCAATTATCGCTGTTGTATTTTTCGACTTTAGTACAAAATGAATTGCTTTAAAATTATAAGCAAAGAAACTAGGAAAATAGATGTTTTTTTCATTATTAATTATTTTTATTTTCTATTAATATTCCCGACCTATTTGAGAGCGATGATAAGTTAATTAATATTATTAAAGTTATCACACTACTTTTTCTGCAATAATAAGAATGCTCTAATATCCTAACGTAGTCGTCTTTTCACAGATCCGCCTTGGTCTATACGTCCTATTTTTTATTGAGTATATGTCCCTCCTTATTTTTCAGATTCATAGCAATAGTTCAATCTATTTTCTTGCATTATTCAGAGATTTATATGCTATTCTTCTTCTTCATGTGCGATATAAGAGTTATCCGACGTTGCCGATCACCTTTGCGAAGGCTTCTCAATCTTCTGCCACATGAAATAATTGTCCTGCGTTTGATATCATTTGATATTTTTGATAGAGTATATATGTATAGATATATCGGTTTTGCTATAGATAGTATATATCAGGAAAAGACTACGGGTGACTATTCGTTACAGCATTAAGGGAGTTTTGTGCTTGATATCGGCCAGTCTCTTAATCTGGAGAATTCCATCCGAATTATCTTGCAACATATAGTACTCTTGTAGTGATTTTCGATCTTTATTAATTTGGTTTCCTCAAATTGGATACGCTGCTTATCTCAATTCACAAGAATTATTTTTCATTACCGTTTTCTGCAGATATCGCTTACTTGATAAGTCTCGTAACTCTACTTAATGAGTACTTAATGGAAATATATTATTGTAGTACCAAGAAGTCAATGATACGACATAGTTTTTATTAAAACTCGAAGACTATGTGATTGAATATAGTCTCAGATTTACACAATCACATAATTTTCTCGTAATATTGATACGTATACACGATATATATATATATATATATATATATATATATATATATATATATATATATATATTATATATATATATATATATACTATATATATTACTATATATATTATATATCCGCCTTATATATATAATATATCCGCTTGCTCTTTATTTTTGTAAATAAATAATTTAATATTTGTTATCCCATTGACGTTTTTATTTGAAATAATATTTTTGTTGCAGTGCAAAGTGAGTTTGTCAGTAATCCACTAATTCCTGATGTTGAATGTGGCCGTTCGGTAAGTACATTATTGATTTGTTATAAAGCCATTATGAATCACAAGCTAATCCTATCGATTATAATAAATTATGGAGATATTTAGTAATCCATTATATTTGAATTTTAGATTTCCAGCTCCAAAATCGTTTTTAAAATACAAATAAATTGTTTTGTTTGGTTAGCTTGACATAAAAACAATACTTTTACGGGTTAAGTATTACATTCCTGATTGATAATAACTATTCAGACCCGTGTTATAAATAATCAAATAGATCTTTTAAAAATCAACAAAAAGTGTATCAGATATATTAGGTATAAGTATAGTATTCATAAATGATTAAGCTCAAAAGAACAAGTGGACCTAGAAAGATACAGAGAGAAGAACAGAGAGGTAAAAATATTAATAACAAAAGATAAAAATGATAACTGGGAATCAACATGTATGAACATATCGAACAATACATAGGAGGTACAAAGAACTCAGCATCCTGGAAAGTGATAAAGAGTCTGAAAGAAAACACAGGAAAAAACACATTTTACTTACATAAGCGAAAAACATTGAAATGATTACTACAAGAACTTCTGACAGAAAAGCGAACAAAATTTATGGAAAAAGAACAACAAACAACAAATACAAAGGGACAACTAAATTTATCATTGGAAGAAGTAAAAAAGATTATAAAACAAATAAAAAATAATAAGTCTGCAGGACCCGGAGAGATAGCACCCGAGCTAATTAAATACGGATCTGAAAAATTGTTCCGTATGATACATAACATGTTTCAGAGAGCCTTGAACACCGAACAACAAACTGAAGAATGGTCGACAGCCCATATTATGTCGATTTTCAAGAAAGGGGATAGAAGAAAATGTGAAAATTACAGAGGCTTAAGCATTTTACCATCTATAGGAAGACTATATATTTTTTTTTTATTAAATTTGCAAATTTACAATCTGCTATTAATTACAAGCTATTAGTAAATGTGATTATTGCAAATACATGAGAGGAGAAATTATCCATTGATAACACTCCCAATACTAACACTAACAAATTAAATTAATGTATGATTATAATTTAAAACTAAAATTGAGATGAAAAGTAAAATTAAAATTGAAATTAGTGTATAAAGTCTGTTGGCCACTGTCTCTTCAATCTTCGTCTGACTTCTGGTTGGAGGTGTAGTTGTCTTGCTTCCTCGTTGGGGTGGGTTGGCAGATGTTCTAAATAATTTCTTGTTAGTCTGCTGATTTCGTCTTCAACGAACGGTATACCAGAGTCATCATGCAGAGTTTTGTTACTAACGTACCACGGCGCGTTGAAAATCATTCTGAGTATTTTGGATTGGATTCTCTGAATGATTTTGGTATTAGAAGGCTTTGCACAGCCCCATAGTTGCACTCCATATGTCCATATAGGCTTTATTATGCACTTATACAATAGAAGTTTATTATCTGTTGATAACTGTGATTTTCGGCCTATTAGCCAATTCATTTGACGTATTTTCATGTTGATTTGGTTCTTTTTGGCCAATATGTGTGCTTTCCAAGTGAGTTTTTGATCAAGTGTCATTCCCAGGTATTTGACTTCTGTTTTTACTGGTAGTAGTATATTGTTCAGTCTGATTCTCGGACATATGATGTTCCTATTGGTGAATGTAATTTGATTAGACTTATTATGGTTAACTTTGATTTTCCATCTATTCATCCAGTCTTGTACTAGGTTCAGGTGTATTTGAAGGTTTCCTGATGCTACTTGGGGGTCATCATCGATGGATATTATGGCGGTGTCATCTGCGAACATGGCTACTGTGGTCGTATTTGTTGTTGGGATATCAGCAGTGTATATGAGGTACAGGAGGGGACCCAGGACACTTCCTTGAGGGACACCGGATTTTATGGGATAGTAATGAGAGGTTTCTGTAAGGAATTTGACTTGAAAGTAACGTTCTGTGAGGTATGATTTTAAAAGAAGATAGTGAGGGGTGGGAAAGGATGACTTAAGTTTATATAGGAGGCCGTCATGCCAAACACGGTCGAAGGCTTGTTCTATATCCAGGAAGGCAGCAGTGCAAATTTTTTTCTCTTCGAGGCATACATTAATGTTTTTTACAATCCTATGGCACTGTTGTAGAGTTGAATGGGCTTCGCGGAAACCAAACTGGTGGTTTGGAATCACTGAATTAATTTCGATGTCTTCTGAGATTCTTTGGAGCAGAAGTCTTTCAAAGATTTTTGACATTATTGGAAGTAAGCTGATTGGTCTATATGAAGTAATATTATTTGGTGGTTTATTTGGTTTACTTATCATAATTATTTGTGCAAACTTCCAATTAATCGGGTAGTAGGCTAATCTTATGATACTATTATATATCATTGTTAGTAGGACAATTGCTTTTCTCGGTAATTTTTTTAATATTAGCCCGGTGATCATGTCGAAGCCTGGTGCTTTGTAGTTATTGCATCTAGAAATTTGTTCTTTTACATTATTAGGAGTAAAGAATTTGATTGGTAGCATCATTGGGCATGGAGTGTCTAAAAAGTTTTTAACTTGTTCTTCGTCATTATGGTTATTAAGTTCAGGTGCACCAAAAACGTGTGAGAGATGTGCAGCAAAGATTGATGCCTTTTCTTGTTCAGTTTTTCCCCAGCTTCCATCGTCTTTCCTTAGAGGTGGTATGTGCTGTGTAGGCCTCTTGAATGATTTCGTTGCTTTCCAGATGCTGTGGTCTTCTTTTGACAGGCTGTCGATGAATAGTTCAAATGTATCATTCCTCGCGTCTTGTAGAGCAGTTTTAAGTTGCCGTGTTAATCTATTGTATTCATTTTTGTCTATAGGATTGCGACTTCTTTGCCATATGCGCCTGGCTCTTCTTTTTTGTGCTACAAGACGTTTTATATACACGGGTATATTGGTGTCACTTGGTTCTTTGTCATTCTGAGGGGGTGTAGCTATTTCTGCGGCTGCATGTATAGTTTGGGTGAGAATAAGCACAGCGTTATCGATATCGTCTGGTTGCTTTAATCTTATATTTAAATTTAAATTTTCATTTATGTAAGACTCGAATACATTCCAGTTGGTCTTTAATGTTGTTAACTTAGGGATATGCGGACGTTTTATAATTTGCGTAGATAGTGTTACAATTATGGGAGTATGGTCGGTGGACAGATCCCAGGATGGTTGTATGTCAAAATAATTTAAGGCCATGTTATGAAGGATAAAGAAGTCAAGTAGATCTGGGATTTTGTTTGGATCTGATGGCCAGTAGGTGGGTTGCCCTGTAGATAAGTAAGAGCTGTTTGTATTAGCTATGGCTTGCCTAAGATTTCTTCCCTTTGTCGTACATAGTCTCGACCCCCAGTCTGTATGCTTGGCATTCCAGTCACCTCCAATCAAGAATTTGTTTGATAGCTGTTTAAAGAAGTCTTCATATTCTGCTGTGGAGATATTATGCCTTGGAGGGCTGTACATTGCCGCGATGTTAAAAGACTGTGGTTGAGAACTGATACAGATTACTGCAGCTTGTATTTTTTTCCGTCTGATACATTGTTTCCTCATAGTGTGGTATGGTGTTACGTATAATAATAGCAGCGCCACCGTGTGCTGTTCCATCAGGATGGTTGGTGTTGTAAATAGAGTAATGAGGGATCTTGAACATCGTTCTGTCAGTGAAATGGGTTTCCGATATGAGTAGAACATCAATTTTGTTATGTTCAAGAAAGTTAGTAACTTCTGTGTTATGGTTGCCTAGGCCGTTGGCATTCCATTGTGCAATTCGTAGTGACTTAAGTTCCATTACTGAGTTTATTTATTACTGTGGAAAGCATGTTTAAGATCACGCTATTTTGATTTATTAGTTGTGAAAACATAGATTTGAATTCGTTAAGGAAACTCTTCATCATCTCTCCAATGTCATTGTGTGTATTGCTTCCATGTGTTCCACTTGTTACTTGAGCGTAAGTTGCTTGATTTTGGTTGTATGAGTTCGTATTATTATGGACATTATTTACATTTGTTCCACCTGTTGCTTGTGTGTAAGTCGCGTGATTTTGATTGCTTAAGTTCGGATTATTCTGTACTGTATTTCTGTTATATGGCAGTTGATTGTTCGCTGGAGTGTGCGATGATATTCCTCTTGCTCTGTTTCTACTGCTAATTAACTCTTTATATACTAGGCATCCTTTGTAATTTGCAGTGTGTGCTCCATTGCAGAGAGCGCATATGGCAGGTGTGTCTCTAGGTTTTTTACAATCGGCTGACATATGGTTGCCTCCACATTTGACACAGTGATAAGGTCTATTACAGTATGTCTTAGAGTGTCCATACAATTGGCATCTGGTACACTGGACAATATTATTCTTTTTATACGGTGGCTCAATAACTATTTTCGCGTTGTTTATAAATTGAATTTCATATATTTTTTTATTATTTTGATTAGGTTCTATATCGACGTAGAACATCATTAGAGGGTCCTTACTTACTCTATGTGTTATATTTACAATATTGCGTACTAAATCCCCATGTTTTTCTATTTCACTTTTTATTACATTAATGGGCACTGTATGATGTAGATTACGAATTACAACTCTGTATGCTCTATCCTCTTTCATCTGGTACGTATGATGCACAATTTTTTTGCTGTTTAAATGTCTTACTAGTTTTCGGTATGTTTCAGAGTCCCGGGAATTTATTTTTATTGTGTTGTTTTTTAATGCTGTACAATAGAATGTCTCTGTTTTTGCTACTTCCGATAGATTATTAACCATTTTATTGTATTCAGTAACACCATATATAAAAATTGGTGGGGGTTTATTGGTTGCTGGAGTTTTGTTGGTATTTTCTGTACTGTTATTGTTGTCGTTTTCGTTTTCATTTTGTAGAATCTGAAATTTATTGCTGGTTACTACCGTGTCTTCGTTTTCTGTTGGTGTCGGAGGATTAATTTTACGTTTTTTGTTACTATGTTGTATAGTTTGCCATTCGTGGATGTCCGATGACTCAATGTCGCTGATTTCCTCTGA